TATATATATACTAAGATAGTCTTTAAATTCAGGGTTTTTAAATAAAAAAAATTAAGGTGATTATAATTTACCTTAAAATTCATTATTCAAACTATTTAAGAAGTAAAATTATTTATCAATTTATTGTAATTAATTTCATGAAAAGAGCATTCAACCCTCTAAACCTCACCACTTTGTAAATTTATATACACCTTAAATTTTAATTTTATCCATATCAATAAATTTTATTCTTTTATAATTTGACACCATCAATTATAATATTATTCTAATTGATCATTAAATCTTATTGTTTTTACACGCACATAAACACTTTAATTTTAATTCCATTTTAATTAATGATAAATAGTCTTATATATTAAATTGGGGTTAAACTACTAATCAAAAAAGAATTTCGAACCTTTATTTATTTTAAATAAGAGTTAATTAATTTTATAAATCACTTTTCAAACATTAAAACATAATAAAATTTATAATTAAAATATAGAGACTTTATCGTTTTTGTTACTATTTAATATTTTTATAAAATATATTTTAATTTTTGAGAAAATGAATTATTAAAAAAGAAGAAAAAAATTAATGAATGATTAATGTTTAAAATAAATAGTATAACTCTATCTTGATAGAAAGAAATATTTGTTCAAAATGTATTTTAATGATCAATTAAAATGAAATTAAAATTCATGGCATATATTTACAAAAATTGTAAAAATTTAAGGATTAATTAAAAATAATAATATTTGATGATATATTTTGCAAATGAGATAAAATTTAAGTATCAATTAAGATAAAAATTAAAGTTTAAAATGTCTCTCTCTATATATATATAAGTAAAAATTTTGTAAAACAAGAAAAGTAAAATTTAGTAGAAGTGAATTTCCCTAATGTTATTTAGTATTTCCTTTTCAATCCTAAAAAAGTCAAGGTACAAGCTAGAAAAAAGGAAAAAAAGAAAAAAACTAAAAACTATAACTTTAGTAGTGACGATAAAATAAGAATGAAAGAGACAAAGACTATAAAAAGTAAAAAAAAAAAAAAAAAAAAAAAAAAAAAAAAAAAAAATAAAGGCGAAGGATCAATGAAAAACTTTTTTTCTTTATAAAAAGAAAGATATATTAAGAAAGGTTCTTAATGGTTTAGAAATATAAAATACATTCAATTATTTATTCATTTATAGGAAAATCTATAATCATTTGTCTATAAAATTCTATCTGATAATTAAATCATATCTAATTTAATAATTTATTGGGATACGAATGAGAATCCATCAACTTTTATAGTTAGAAATAATACGTTTTAAAATGAAAGATCCATAAAAAAATATATATAAATTTTTTAATATCAGTATTATTGAATATTCATTTATTAATGATTCAATTTGTAACGCTAATTATAATCTTATATTAAATAAATGATATAATAGTTAATATTTAATAATTTTATATTAAATTATACTTTTAATCCTAATTTTAATCTTTTTTCCCTCATTTTATAAGATAAAATTTGAAAATAAAAGTATAAATTATTAAATATTAATTATCATAATATCTAATGAATAAATATTTTGGTCAATGTTATAACAGACAACAAATAAATGAGACTCAAGTTATGAAATTAAAAAATAAAAAATAAAATAGCGTATTGAATATTATACAGGAGACTAAAATATAATTTATGCCTTTTATTTTATATATAAAAAAAAAAGTTGCAGAGATAAATTGTTTATTGATACATACATACCCCAAAAAAGAAAAAAAGTTGATTGATGATGTAAAAATTTGTGAATGCGATAGCTATTTTCCACCTTTTAAGTTGGTATATAATAAGAGTAACCCTTATGAAGACGGTAGAGAAGTAAAATGTTCTTGGGAATATACAATGACTCCAGAATTTAAGCTTCTAAAGTTGGTGTTGCATGGAAGGCATGATAGCCAAGTTTGATAATGTTCATAAACCGAGCATAATCTATGTAAATAAAAAGGGAAAAAGAAAGGCGTAAATAAAAATAATAATAATAAAAAATAATAAAAAAAGTAATGAGTAATGAGAGTGTTGCGTGTGCGTTAGGCGCGTGGAGGGGTTTTGGTAGGCAGTAAAATGTTTAGTTTTATTTAAGATATCTGAAACAAGGGCGGTTAAAGGGTCTGAGAAAACAAAAGCTTAGGTTGTGAGTGGTGGTTGAGACTTGAGGATTAGAATAGGAGAGATGGGTTGGGTGTGTGTCCGTGAATGGAGGAAAGGGGAGAGATCAGAGAAGGGTGGGTGGGACCCATGACCCATGACCCATGACCCATGACCCATGACCCATGACCCATGACCCATGACCCATGACCCATGACCCATCCCATTTGATGAGAGAGAGAGAAGACTTAAACATGACGAGAGAGGGTAGTAAAAGACAGCTAGCAATGAAGAAGGAGCCTCACCTACCAGTGCCCACTCTCCTCTCTTCCCATTTAAACCTTCTTCACTCTCCTCTCTCTCCTTTCAAAAACCCATCTTCTCCATCTCTCACTCACATTCCACCCTTCAGGTTTGCCTCTCTACTCTCTATTTCATCTCTCAAATCGTTACATATACATCTTTCATTTTCTCTTTCCCCCTTCCTTATTTCCTCTTCATTTTCAAAACATTGCTCCACAATTTCCTCTAATTCACTCAAAGGAAAATAAGAGAAAGTGCAGGGGTTTCTGGATAAAATCAAAATGCCGGATTGGGACCAGCTTTCGCTAACGTGCGCCGCACCACTCAATGCCTTCACATGCTAAATATCTTCAATTTCGGATTTTCGTTTCATGAAAAGCGAATTAATTAATTATAAATACAAGCCCACGTTACGTTTTCTTAACTTTCCCATTCGCTTTCTTATCGTTTCCGAAGATAAAAATATTAAATTCCCGGAACTTGCAAAATTCATTTTCGCACAAGTGGCTAACGTGCGCCATTCAACGAAAGCTGCGACTATGATTTTTTATTTGTTCACAGCCTGATTTTTGTTTCGACTTTTGAATTTTCTCAGGAAAATTTCAGTTGCCGAGAAAATGGTTGGACCAAACTTCATGGACGAAATAGACTGCGGAAGCTTCTTTGACCACATCGACGACCTTCTCGACTTTCCCGTCGAGGACGTCGACGCCGCCGCCGCCACCCTGCCGCCTGTGGCCGCCGGTGCCGGGAACTGCAACTCGCTGGCGAGCATCTGGCCCGCCCAGTCCGACTCGGTGTTCTCCGGCAACAGCGCTTCGGACCTCTCGGCGGAGCTCTCCGTTCCGGTGAGTTTTCTAAACGTCGCAGTTTTGTCTGCATTTTGTTTTTTTATTTAAAAGCTTTTTGGCGCGTTCACATGAATTCCGCGAATTGCTCTGTAATAATATCAACGCCCATGGTTTCAACAGTGTCCTTTGTGGCCGTTGGATTCCTTGATTATGACATCAGTGTTCAATGTACGGCTCTGATTGTCTCTTTTCAAAAGTACCCTATTGCCAGCCTGGCACTACGCGTAATAGATAGCATGAAATTTTGGTTCTACTCGTGAGGAACATAGTTGAGTGATTGTCCACAATTTTTCTTTTTTATTTTTTTTTGAAACAGAATTTTGGAGACATTGGAAAAAATAAGAAATTCCAAAATATCTAGACACTAGACAAGGGAATTTGTTTTTTTCGTAAAGTATTATCCAGCTTGAAATGTTTTTTAATTTAAATTCGAATTTGGAGACATTATTAATTCACAATTATTTTTCAAAAATTTCTAGAAGGGGGCATTTTAGTCATTTTATATGGCACTTGATTGTGTCGGTGACATGTGGCACAGCACATCCCCTTACTCTCCATTATTTGAACATCATTATTGGATATCATGTGATTTTGCATGTGATGATCACGTGATGTGACCACCCACACAAATAATGAGCATTGAAAAATTGGCCACTCTAGCAACCCATGTTTGATGATACCCTTTTGACAGTGAGCACAAATTCGTATTCCTCATTCAATTTGAAGAGCACAAAATATGTTTATTTACCTTATTTTGTGGAATGCCATGATATGCAAAATATGCTTTACTATTAGTAAGTTACATGCTTTGATTGAATTGTATAAACATAAAAGAATAACCATAAGGAGGAGTAAATGCATTTAAATTCGAGAATGCAAAATATGATTTTTATGAATGTTTTTTGTTATTGTGCTTCCAGTATGAAGACATTGTTCAATTGGAATGGCTATCCAACTTTGTGGAGGACTCCTTCTGTGGGGGGAGCCTGACCATGAAGAAAGTGGAGGAGCCATCATCATGCACCACCAAGGAGGACTCAGTGCACAACCAATTCAACACCTCAAGCCCAGTTTCTGTCCTTGAGAGCAGCAGTACCTGCAGCGGCGGCAAGACTGTGCCACCGCCGGAGATTTACATCCCAGTGCCATGTGGACGTGCACGCAGCAAGCGTCCACGTCCTGCAACCTTCAATCCTAGGCCAGCCATGAACCTCATTTCCCCTGCCTCCTCTGTTGTTGGGGAGAACATGCAGCCTAATGTCATATCCCCCAAGGCCTCTTCAGACTCTGAGAATTTTGCCGAGTCTCAGCTTGTCCCCAAGATACCAAAGCAAGCCTCTGGGGAGCCAAAGAAGAAAAAGAAAGTGAAGTTGCCACTTCCTGTAGGTCCAGCTGATAGCAATTCCAATCAGAATGGTTCGCAACCAGTTAGAAAATGCATGCATTGTGAGATCACCAAGACACCACAGTGGAGGGCAGGTCCAATGGGGCCAAAAACACTATGCAATGCATGTGGTGTTCGTTACAAGTCTGGTAGGCTCTACCCTGAATACAGGCCTGCTGCAAGCCCAACTTTTTGCCCTTCCTTGCACTCCAATTCCCATAAAAAGGTGCTGGAAATGAGATGCAGAGGCATTGACAAATCCGGTTATGCAATGAATTCAGCTGCCTCACCTGAACTCATTCCAAACACTAACAGCAGCCTTACCCTGGAGTACATGTGATGTGAGGGAAGGAGGGAGGGAGTGATCCTTGTTGGAAACCTGAACATCTCTAGAGTCTTGTCTTATGTTATTTCTTATTGATATTTCATTTCTTTGGTTAATTGGTTTTTGTACAGGGTTGGAATGGGGGAATAGGAGCAATAGATGATGATGATCATATTTTAGCTGTTAGGGGAAGATTGTAACGAGAAGTGATCAAAAGGGGGTAGGAGATATGCAAGTCAAAAAAGGGTAGGGTCTTAGGTCTAGTAATTGTAGGTCCCTTAAGGTCATTAGGAGTGGTTGTCCCGGTTGTTTTTTTTTTTTTCTTCTTGGAATTCTTTTCATTTTTTCCCCTTTTTATATATATCCCTGTCCATGGGAATTCTTTTTGCAGTTCATTTGTAGCAAAAATTCTGAGTTGAGTAAGAAAGTTTTAAATTTTTTTAATGCCCCGTTCGCTTTCTTCTTCCAATCACTGCCGTGTTCTTAGCATATCTTCTTTGAATATATTCACTAATGTATTTTTGAGTAAAATAAAACTTGTAGAGTAAGTGTTTTGAAAATTGGAGAGTATCTTGATGAATGCCAACATGGTATAGAATAAGATTCTTGCCATATTGCTCATATTGTGAGCTGCGAAAAAATGTACCATAAACAGGCATTAATTAACACTCACCATTTTTTATTTTCGCTGTACCAGTTGTTTGAGTACCAACTGCCCACGATGGATCATTTTATCCTTCGACAAATTAGGATGTTAAAAGTGATGGTATGGAAGAAGTTTTCTTGTTCAGTAAAAAATTCTTTTGTAGTGAATACATGGATTTGAGATTAAATGCCGAGGTCAGCTGGAAAAAGAAAAAAGAAAGATTTGGTCCCTTTTAACTAAGGAATGGGCAGTTTAGGAAGAAAAAAAAGACATTAGTTATCTTTAATTATAAATTACTTACATTGGTAGATTTCTACCAAACCGAAAAAAATAGTAGAGGGTGAGCGTAATGATGATTCTTATTGGTAGGACTTGTTCATGCCTTGAAAGGTAAGCACAATGCTTATATATAAATCTAATTATGGCTTTGAGGCTCTTTCTATAGGATTTGGCAACATGTCATGATCTCTCGCAACTTTACAACTAACAACAAATTAAATGATACCTTGCTGGTAAACTCGATTGATTGCTCATATAAATTTCAGTTGCTTGAACTTCTCAAGCAGCTGATGTGATATTCTTTCAAATATATACATCTCCCATATTTTAAGTTATGCTTTGATGACATTAATAAAAGGACAAACTTCTCCAACCTGTTTAGTTTTTTAAGTGTACTCTCTAATAGCCAACGTGACCCATGAGTGCTCTGGGCTACTGAACAGGCCCTCTTAATTTATATGCAAGAATTGGGTCAATTCCACCACCAACTTCTTAGGTCTAACCAATCTATTCTAAAGTGAGTATGTTTCAAGTTCTCTATCAAACTTGGGTAGGTTTGAGATGAGTGAGAGCAACTTCTTCCAACTCTTTGAATAGAAAATGACTCTACAAAGTCAAGTCCATTTAGTAAATGTTCACTGCAGATTGTATGTGTCCAATTCATGAGACTGTAGAAAGCTTTAATATACAAAGACTGAGTGATGACTTTAGGGAGAGAGAAAAAAAGTTTATAAATATGCATGTATTTAGGTGATTAGTCATGTTCTAGAAGCAGTAGAATAAAGCTTTGATAGGAGAGTAGTAAATTATGGATAATAGCTGCAAATAGAGAATACCCTTGTGACACAGATTGTTACAACGCAAATGAATTGGTTTTGTTCAATGCATTCGTTGATGTCAAGATTATGAGAATCACTTGCTGGTGATTAGACAATTTTACTAGTCACTTGTTTAAATGATCAATTTTAACACGTCTCACACAAATTGATGTTGAATTATGCCAGACACAATTGGGAGGTGATCTGAAAAGATTCAGTTGAAAGGCATTGCACTAGCTGGTATTAATTTCGGGAAATATTGTTTCTCATCTTGTTCTATTATAGAATAGTTCAATTAATATAGGATTGTCACCTTGAGAAAGACTATGCATAATCACTGTCCTTAACTGAAGGGTTAATCTTACAACTTTTGAGAAATTTGGATAAAAAAAAAACCCAAAGAATAGTTCAATTTAAAAATTCTACAGCAGTTAGCAAAATTCACGCTCTTATCCTAAAAATTTTCTCTCATATTTTAAATAAATTTTTTTAAGTTAATAATATATATTTTTTGAAATATGAAACATAAGTCCTTACAATAATGTCTAAAGAATTTATTTTTTAAAAAATAAAATGAAAAGGAATAGATAAGAGGAGTCCGCTTAGGTTGAAGGAATGTTTCATGGTTTCATCCCAAATTTATGATTTTTGAAATTTGTCAAGGCAGTTTGATTGATATAAATTTTGCAATAATTAAAAACGTAGCAACAAATTTTTCAATTTCCTACATTTATAAACGAAGGATAAATCCTTTGTGGTTATCAGATTTTACCCAATTTCAAGAACTATTGCGTGTGAGACATTCATTAAAATCCAAATACTAACGAAAGAAGCTTCATGGGTCAAATGTTTGAGATTTAGGACTAGTGGACCACCAGGCTTTAAAAGCCCAAATAATATAGAAGTCTGCACCATTATAAAGCCCATTGTAATTATAGCTCCGAATGTTGATTGGGTTTCAGATATAGAACCAGTACAGTCCACTCCATTTCCATCTCCAAATTCTGTATGGGCCGAAAGATCATGCCTAATTCCGTCCAAATAAGATCTTGGTTACACTTTTTTTTATAGGCACACTTTCTTTTTTTTTTTTTAAATAAATTAAATTTCTAAAATATCCTTAATTTTTATCATTTTTAATTTTTAAATTTTACACTCCCAATAATTAATTTAACACTTTTTTTTTCACACACCTTGTGAGACCCCATCCCTCTTTTCTTTCCTTCACTCTCACTCACTCCAAACTCTCTTCTTCCCTCTCATTTCCTTTTCTCTGAAATTTGGTGGTTTTAGGTGCTGAGCTAGAGTCAGGTGGTGCTAGTTGAGAGTGAGCTGACTCCCTTCTTCCGTGTGCTTCTCTTCAAGCTTGTTATTCTCCTCCTATCAAGCTTCTTCTTCCTTGTCTCTTCCTAGAAGCTTGAATATCTTCACCGAGGTAAGAGAAGCTAGGTTTTTGCTGTTTTTGGTTTCGAATGAGTCCTAAAAGCTTATTAGATGCTTGTTGATGGCTGATTCTTGGTTGTGATTGAAGAAAAATTCGTTTTCGGGGTTTCGGGTAAAAATTTAGGGTTTTCATTGATTTGTGGTTGCATGTGTAAAAAGATGTTGTTTTTGAACCTTTTGATGTAAATGTGAACTATTGGATGGTTTGCATGAGGATTTCCTGGCTGTCTTTGCAGATTTTTGAAGAGATTTTCGAACTTTGGGAGTTGTTGCTGACCTTCGCGCTGGGTGCCGTTCTTCGCGCCGGGCGCGTGACCATCAAGGGTTCCATTTAGGCAAGCCCGCCGGGCGCAAAGGTGTGTGCGCCGGGTGAGCTTGAGAATGTGAGCCTCTGGATGGCCCACGCTGGGCGTGACTTGGACCACGCCGGGCACGATATCAGTTGTGACATGTTTTGGCTTTTTCTGGTACTGCGCTGGGCGCGATTCTGTCGCGCTGGGCGCGGAGACTCCTTGGGAGTCTCTGCCATGGGAGCGCTAGGCGGAATTCGAATTGCGCTGGGGCGAGACCTTGGGAGGTCTCTGCCTTCCCCGCGCTGGGCTCATGAGACTCCTCAGAGTCTCTGCCTGGGGTTGCACAAGGCGCAATTGGTATTGCGCCAGGCGCAGGTGAGCCTTGGGCTCTCTGGCTGGGTCACGCCGGGCGCGGGCACTCTTGCGCCGGGCGTGCTGGCCCCTGGTGCTCTCTGGTTGTGCCACACCGGGCACGACCGTGAGTGCGCCGGGCGCGTATGATGAGGTGGAATTATATGCTGAAATTGTTGATAGATGTTGTTTATGTCGAACTAAGCTGTAATTGATGAATATGCTGTGCTGACTAGGTGATAATGCTGAATAATGATGTTAAGCTGTAATAGATGTATATTGTCGTGTTGAGATGGGCTGTTATTGATGATTTTTAAATGTTGAATTATAATATTGTTGTACTATAGACTATTGAACTGAGTTGTGAGTAGTAAGCTGTGTTGAATACTACTTAGTTGTGCTGTATGCTGATTTTGTTGTGCTGTGTTATGCTTTGAGCTGTCTTAACTGGGCTGTTAGGCTGTGTTGTGTGATGTTTTGCCACTAAGTGGTGTTGTTATAGCCGCTAAGTCGGTGCTATTATTGTCGCTAAGCGGTGCTTTTATAGCCACTAGAGTGGTGCTGTGATTGCTGCTATGCAGTGCTGGTATTGCCGCTTTGCGGTGCTGATATTGCTGAATGTTGTGATGTATTATAAGCTGATCGATGTGCTGATAGCTGTAGCTGTTTTCCATTTATATTGTTATATATGTATGTTGATTTTTTTCACTAGCTTACCCTTTGTTGTTTCCATTGTGTTGGACTGTGATGATCATACATTGTATGAGAGTATAACAAGGATAGGTTGGTGGCTGTGGTAAGTCTGCAACTGGCAGATAGAGCTGATTCTCTAGGGTGTTTTGTTGTTTTAAGCTACTTGGTGTAGTAGCTATTGATTTATTTTGTGCACTTTAACTCTATCTAAACTTGGGCCATGTATATATATATATATATATATATATATATATATATATATATATATATATATTATACACTATGACACTATATGTATACACTTGTTCCTTTCTGTGTGGTGTTTCTGGTGTGTCGTGCCGTGTGTAGAGACCAGTCGGGTCGTTACACACCTTCCCTTGTTTTCACATACATCCCATTACTTTTCCTCCATTCTCACATATTTCAGTAGGTAGTTTTAATTTTTTTAGTTTTACATTACTCTCTTCCTCCGTCCTCTTTCAGTTTTCTCATTATTATCTTCTCCCTTCCCGCTTTTAGTTTTCATATGCACCCAAAATGTATAAACTAATTTTCAACAACATTATAAGCACGTGTGACTTTCTTGACATTGTCAAAAGTATTGAGCCAAATATGTATTTTTTCTTCAAATACTTCTCTCGTTTACACGCCTAAAATAGAACATCATATAATTTTAGTGTTTTAGAAAATAATTTTTGGAATAAAAATTTTACTGAAAGAAAGTTTTAAAATTGAGTTTTTAACATATTTTTGGAAAGTACTTTATGAAACACTGAATTTATTATTCCAGAAAGTACTTTATGAAATTATGTAAAATAACACACTTCTAGAAAGTACTTTCTAGAACAATAAAATTTAGTGTTTCGGAAAGTAGTTTTCGGAATAATAAATTTAGTGTTATGTAAAATACTTTCCAAAATT